AACGAGATGGATCAGCCAGGTGGCATCATTGTTGGACTCAAGTGTGGCAGCAGTAGTGAGGTTGGCCCAGGATCATACATTGTTTCGTTCTGCTGTGCATGGGGTCGCTATGAGTCGGTTCCGACTCAATGGCTCCTGACAACAACAACAAGAAAGGATGCGCAGCCTGAACTGGCTAAAATGACTCCAGCAACCAGAGAGTGGGTCTCTCATCGTGGCTTTCTGGGGAGACATCGACTTTGCCCTCTACTTTTTCTTTCTGTTACTGTGTTTTAAAATTATACCTGCCAGTCAAAGGCACTTGATAGGCAACAGATGCTGTATTTTCCCTAGCCCATGCACCTTACTCCCAACTTTGAAAGGGGGCAGGTTAGCAAAGAATGAGCACCCCCAGCTCCTCCCACCTTCATTTCTGGTTTCTCCAAACAACCAAAAGAATCATCTTCCTACGACATGCAGGATTCTAAATCTCTACTCTCAATTGTTCAACTGACGTCCAGGTGAGCTGGATTCATGGGTTCCGCTGCCAGAGTCTAGGCAACAATGGCATCCTTGCATCTCTCCCACAAGACGCTGCGGAGGGTCTGCACACAGGAGGAGGATCTCAGCAAACATGGTCCCAGAAGGTGTATTCTGTCTTCAATATATTCACAACCTGAAACTCTAGGAGACATACTTGATGCTCCTGTGTACACAACCCACATCCAGTTTCAAGCAGATGGCAATATATAAACATTCTGGGCTCGGGTACACATTCCTTCAACAGAAGACAGTTTTCTTTTCTTCTTCGTACCAGATAATAGATCTATTACAAGTTCCCTTCATTGTGGATATCAGTTAATTCACTTAGGACAATGCCTGCTTGATTTCTTTGTGACACTTAAACTCACAAGGGCTCTGTCATTAGCTAGATGTCATGTGTAAGAGGCAAATTAGAGAGGATGCATTCTCTCCGATGTAAGAAACTGGCCAGTCACACACTGGGCAGGCAGGAATTCCTAAGAAGTTTTGTCCTCACAGAAAGTTGAGGTTCATCAGGACCCTAGTGAGTCACAGCAATAACCAGATGCCACCAAAGCAATTTTGACTCATGGTGTGTGCCAGAGCAAAACCAAAACTGTGTTCCATAGGGTTTTCCAAGGCTGATTTTTCAGAAGTCCATCTCCAGACCTTTCTTCCAAGGTACCTCTGGGTGGACTCAAACCTCCAACCTTCTAGTTAGCAGCTGAGCATGTTAACCATCTGTACCATCCAGGGACCATACGCACAGGGTAATAGCCCCTCTTCCAAGGTTAACAGGGCTGAGGACACGAGCCAGGAGAATCCCCCACTGACATCCAGGCAGGACAGCTAGCAGGTAAAGACCCTTTGTGGCTGAAAAGGAATGGCTGTATAGGCTGTATACTCTCCATGGCTGCATTTTTCATAACCAAAAACTTAATGTTTTTAGGTGGCAGGTGCATCATTTATGACCGGAGCTTCCCCCTCCCCCCACCAACGGCAAGACAAAGCCTTCGAGGCTGACCAGCCCAATCTCTCTCCTTCCAAATGCCCTTGACCCCTTCCTTCGGGGACAAACGCTAAGAAGACTATCAAGTTCAAGGCAGAAGGAAATCCTGGCCCAAGTCCCTGACCAACAGCCCAGAAGCCTGGACTACTTCCCTCCTTCCTGACAAGCAAAGCGAAACAATTCATTTGGAAAACCAGTTCATTTCTGAGAAGATGACCTTGAACACCATAATCAGCGATATAGTGACTTGGTCTACTTTTAAAAATTAAGTTTTGAAAGAGAATTGTATGGCTCCACCGTTTCTGGAAGAGCCGTGTCCTAAAATAAGCAACTAATGAAATCTTACTCTCAGTGACGCAGGAGGCTGGGCAGGCAAGGCCCCAGGGACGTTACGGAGATAGAAAACAGGCCCGGGGCAGCAGCTGGGCAGGCACCTACCCGGCACAGGTAAGCTCTGGCATACACAGACACCAATGGGTCTCCAATTCCGCGAATCATGCACGTCAGCCGCGGCAGACATTCCGAAATCCCCCTGTTAGAAACACAGCAGCATGACACCAGATGTGAGAACCTGATGTTCTTTTGTCTTTTTTTAAAAACAGGGAGAAAGTTAAACTTGCTAAAATTAGGAAGAGAAAAAGAAAATCAGTTTCAGGAACAAACTAAGGTCTGTTTTTCCTGGGACTGTTCATGTGTATGAAAGCTCCTCTTACCTTGACCTCCACTTGGTGCCGTAGGGCTAACCTTGACTCACTTCCTATTGGGGTCCTGCTTGTTTCACCAGTGTCAGCAGCTTAGATCCTCCGATTGTTTTCCAGTAACTGATCATCCCTCATGTGCTCTTAATTTTTCACATTATCTATATTTCTTTTATGTTGATTTGCTGTTCCGTGCGCCAGCCCCTCCGCCCTGAGCACCTTACTATAAAGCTGGTATTAGGAAATCTCATGCTAATGTAACTTAGGAATGTGAGCCGTGATTTATTTTTTATGCCACACAGGACAGCCCTGTGCCTGAGGAATTACCCTTCTACAACTGATGAAGCAAAATAATGGTTTTAGGAGCCATGCTATGTCCCAAACTATGAGATCCCTAGATTCAAAGTAAATAGATTTGGGGTAAGTTCCGAATGTAAATATTTCTTATCTGTGGAGTCAGTTCTTGGCTTCTGGGAGCTTATTATCCAGCCACAAACAGACTTGTGGAGAGCAGATGTGGTTTCCCCAGTTCTCTCAGCTGCTCTGAGAACAATGTCTGAGGAAACTAGTGCAGTACCAGGCTTAGGTGCAAAGGTTTCTGATTCTGACGTCATCATCATCTTCAGCTTCAGCAGGAGCGGCAGGCACTTAGTGTGGGCCTACTGTGTGCCGGGTGCTACCTCTGCCACTCACGGACCCCTTCTCAGCACCATGTTCACAGAGGAAACCGAGACCCAGGGAGGTTACATCACTTGCTCAAGACCACACAGCTGCTAAGTGTAGAGTCACAGTTCAAAGCCAGTAGGCCTGATTTCCCACATTCATATCATCTCTCCTAGACGCAGTCTGCTTCTCCGTAAAATGGGGATAAAAATGGTGTCTTGACTTTATTAGGTCTCCACTAGGATTTAAATGAGAAAATGCATAGAAGATGCTTCTTCTGCCTCACAGTAAGCACTCAGTAAGTGACAGCTGCTATGACATTGCCATCACACCCACTCCTCACTTACAGACATGGTCGTTGTGCAAGAATGGGGGCCGGCCATTGCCATAACACAGTCCACAGACAATATTCTACACTCTACTTTGGTGAGCAGCGATTGGCATCTTAAAAATTCATGAGGGGCCATCAAATGTACAACTATTGTCTCTTCAGGTGCGGAAGAAGATGAACACGAAAGATGCTTGGAATCAACCAGTTCAAAGGACCAATGGATCACATGAACACCAGTCTCCAACACTCTGAGACCTGAAGATCTAATTCCATAGCCTAGTTTTTAGCCACAGCCTCTAATATCATCCACAAGTTCTCAGTATACCAATAACTATGCTGACATTGCCCTGGGAACCTTCCACTGTAATACAAAACGTGACCTAGGCTTCGACTCTATGCATCACATGACATGAGCCAGCTACCACTACCAAGTACTCTGAAAGGGGTCACATTAGAAGGTCCAGACAGAGTGGAGAAAATAATGTGGGGAAAAACTCAAAACTATATAAAGGACCAGGCTTACTACTCAGAAAACAACGGAAGGAACCAGAGACTATGGCCCTTGGCCCCCTTTCAGGTCTGGAATGGAATTCACCATCATAACCCAATTTTCAGCCAAGTGGTAGGGAGGTACATAGGGTTAGAGTACTACAAGGTATGCTCACCACGGAATGGTCAGCCATTCAAGATCAAAAGGGTAATATTAATATAGTTCACTGACAAAGTTCAGAAGGGTTGTGAAGGAGGGTGGAATGGAAAAAAGCCACAGGAGGAATTTGGATAACTCTTGTTGCAGGGAGGGGACTGCAATCATTGTGATGAAACAAAGTGTGTGGTTTGTTGAATGTGAAACTGATGATCTGCATTGCAAACCTTTACTCAATTCACAACAAAAGGGTTAGGAAAAAAAAAAAAAAAAAGCAGGACAACCACATCAGGTCACAAAATGGAGGATGCCATTCTACATAACTGCCAAACCACTGAGAATCATGGTCCAGCCACGTTGACACATGACCTTAACCTTCAAAGCCCGAGTTACTCTCATCTGGTACCTCAGCATTCATTATTTCCAAATGTAGGTTGTTAATGCAGAAAACAGCTAGATAGCAGATTTTTCACTATTGTCATAAACTTGACATGTGAGATAATGAGCTCTGTGATGAGTGAGGGATGTGGGTGTAATACAGATCTGTGTGAATAATACTTTTTAGAAATTTTATGGTTCTAGCACATTTATGGGTTTAAATGCAGCAACGACTGTGAGGTTGGCACTGCACTGGGCAGTGTTTCGTTCTGTTGTGCACAGAGTTGCTATGAGTTGGTACCAACTTGATGGTACCTAAAAACAACAAACAAAAGCATTTTTAAAAGTCTTACGTTTTGGAGAGGAACTTGTTACACTTCAAGATGGATGCTTCCACGTATCTGCAAAACCATTCCGTTAAGGACATTTTCCAGATGGTCTGACCCCCATGGGGAAAAGACTGAAGTATTCATGAACAGAATGAGACGTGTGTTCAGGAGACACAGGCCTCAATGGGCCTCAACAATCCAGAGAATTCAGTTAGCTAGTGGCTGTGGTTTCTATATTTGGTTTTTGAGGTTTCATACTTATTTAAAATAAATTTTGGAAAACGTTACACATGTGGATTCATGGTTGCATGCTGAAATTCAAACTGGGCTTTGAGCATTCCTAATCAAGTCTTTATTGGGAAAGAATGAACTTTAGATAACTAAGAATCAATGTGTGGATCAAGCAAATTCTCTGTCCCTCAATTTTGGCTTTTGTGCAGAAAAGCTTGGCCCATTCCCTTCGAGTTCTTGGAATCAGAAGAAATATATAAAGATGAAGCATTTTAATGAAGAGAATTAATGTGGGAATGTTCCTCAAGGAAACAAGAGCCTGTTACATGGCACTGTATTCAAAAGAGAAAACAGAAAGCTGCTTTGAGATTCCAGAAGCTTCTGCTGTGTGCATGGCCCTGGATTTCCAGGCCTGTACCCATAAAAGAACCCATCTTCCAACAGGCCTTCCTGGGGTAGCCCATCCCATGACTTCTATTCACAGTACAACTCTTTCAGTCTATCTTTAAAATCATCACCCAATAAAAAGATACAGTCTGGGAATGAGTTCCCGGATAGAAGCAATCTTGAAAAACCAATTTAAGCAGGTTTCTTTGGCCGTGTCATTCACGTTCTCTGGAGAAAAGTGATCTGCAAGACATAAACAGCACTCATCAGCTATCTGCTAGGAGGCTTGGGGCATGAAAGTGTTACCCAGAGCAGAACAAGCAGTGGGGTCCTCACACTGCTGTGTCTTCCCTTCCAAATACCATCATTGTTGTTGTTGTTGTGAAGTGATGTCGAGTCAGTTCCAACCCATAGCGACCCTGTATAGGATTTCCAAAGAGCAGCTGGTGAGCTTGAACTGCCGACCTTGTAGTTCAAACGACTTTGCAGTTTGGCACATTAACCCACAGCGCCACACCAGGACTCTGAATACCATCATTAGTAGAAAACAACTCTTGGCCGTGGTGGCTTACACATGAAGGCTTTCTAAGCGCCTGCTGCTGTCCACAGTGCTTACAGATGTTGGTCCAGGCAAGCTCCACACCCAGAGAAAGATGTGGCAGTCTGCTTCCACAGGATTTAGTCTTAGAAACCCTGAGGAGCAGCTCTACTCTGCCATGTATAGACTGAGTTGCTCGGAGTTAGAATCAGTTCAATGGTAGAGGGTTCTAGGTTTTATAGATGCGGAGACGAAGGCAAGGAGATGTTGAGGAACTTTCCCGGAGCACACAGCAAGCAATCAGAAGAACTAGAATTCAAAACCAGGCAGTCTGGTTCCATAGCCTTGTTCTTAGCCACTGCCTCTAATCTAATCCAGAAGTTCTTGGTATATCAGTAACTCTGCCAATAGTGCCCTGGGAACCTTCCATTGTAACACAAAATGCGATCATGCGTCACATGAGCCAAACATGACAGTGAAGGAGGGCCAGAGTCAGGACTCAAGAACAACAGTGACATGCTAAGACTGCAGTCACCTGGAGGCAGAAATGGTCAGTTTACCTGATTAAGTATTCTCTTCTTTAATGCTAGAAATCACATTTCTCTCCTGGGCCTATGACTATCCTTGCAGCCAGGTGGCTACATGTTGTTATATGACCACCTTCTGGTCTCAGGTTGAAAACAGAAGTATAACTTCTGGGAAATGTTTTTAAGGGAAGGATATTCCTCACCCTTTTTTTCCCTTTCTGCTGGCTGGAATGGAGACATGATGGCTGGAGGTTCTGTAGCCATCTTGAGCTATGAGAACAGCAAGACAGAAGACGCCAGGGTCTCTGACCTTCTCTTCTGGTATTTGAAACTGTATGACACTGATCCCAAGCCTAATCCTGACACACATCTTAATAAAGAATGGAAGGGAATACGGAAAAACGGAAAAACAAAAAGCAAAGCCATTGTTGGACTCTCACATCGAAATGCATACTATTACTTAAAGTACTGGGGTGGCACTGTAGGATAAGCATTTGACTGCTAACCACAAGGTCAGTGGTACAAACTCACCAGCGACTCCTCAGAAACTCTATACAGGGTCACCATGAGTCGGAACTGACTGATGGCCCTAACAACAATAACCATTAATTTCAGGATTCAAACATAAAGGGAATTTTAATTACTTTTAATGTAGCACAAGAATCTGAGCTTGTTGACTCTTATTATGTTTTGCAGTAAGTCATTTTTCTAACGCTGAATCTGTCACTTGGTAATAGACAACTAAAGTGATCAGAATTCTGATAAAGGGAAATTCAGCATTCAGATTTATGCTGAATTCAGATTCAGCATAAAGGGAAAAAGACACCCTCCAGGTGGTCCGGTAACTGAGCCGAGCCACCAATCCCAACTGTAGGCATTCTGACTCAGCAGTCTCGTGTGTTCACCCACCCCCAGGACCTGGCAAGCCTCCTTCCCTCACTCGCCATTTTCCAGAGGCCGGAAAATGACCATTTCCTCTTTCTGGCTTGAACCCATACACATAAAGAAGAGACTCTGCTTCAAGAGAACCAGACAGGAAAACGTAAGGGTTGCTCTTCAATTTCTCTGTCAATCTTGACTTTTTTGAAAAAAGGAGGGGTGGGGGTTCCCTTCCCTTCAAATGAGCGAATCACGAGGCTTGCCGTCTAAAGGCCAAAACACCACAGAGGTACACGCTCCTTAGAGCAGTCAACACAACGACATCAAAAGGGCAGCTTTGGCACTGAGCTAACCGTCAGAAGGCAGGAAGGGACAGGGAAGAAGGAACAGAGATGGGAAGTAGGGATCACAATCAATGTCACAAAACAAAACACGTATGAAATTGCTGAATGGAAAACCAATTTGTTCTGTAAACTTTCATTCAAATCACAAGAGAAAGTTAAAAAAAGAAATAAGTGAATAGAAGCAAACACAGCCTCTGAAATTAACTAAAAAATCCCTCACTTTATATCTGAAGAAACAGAAATTCAGTGAAAGACAAGACAAACATAGCTGCAGGTTGCTATGAGCTGAAATCACACAAAAAACAAATCACGCTGTGCACACAATGACTGTAAGTTACAGGAGTCTGCAAACATCAACACAGTCTTTTATGCCTCCCTGCCAGGCGAAGACAAAATTCAGGAAAAGGATTCTGCTATACTCGGCTTAAACTTTTCATACTGAATACTTGTCGTGAGTTGCCAATCAAGTCTATTCAGAATCATGGTGGTCCTATGTGTGTTCAGGGCTGTGACCTTTTGGGAGCAGATGATTGGGTCCGTCTTCTGAGGTGTCTCTGGGTAGTTTTGAAAGGTTAACCTTTTGGCTAGTAGCTAAGTGTTTAATTGTATGCACCACCTAAAACACTACATTTCTTCATTTCACTTGTTCAACACAAATTTCTAAATAACTAAGGTAAAATGGAGGAAGTGATAAAGAGGAAGACACCCCCCCCACCCCCAACGAGAAGGACTGAAACAACGGCAGCCAAGGATTATGAGGTTGGCCCAGAACCGGGCAGTATTTCATTCTGTTGTGCATAAGGTTGCTATGAGTTGGTACCGACTCGCTGGCACCTAACAACAACAATAACAACAAGGGTTCTTGAGAGCTAAGGCTCTGGGGATATAACAGTATATAAAACAGATCCGGGCTACAAAGCTTACATTCCCGACCCATAGTGACCCTATATATAAGGTTTCAGAGGAGTGGCTGGTAAGCTTGAACCGCTGACCTTGAAGCCCTGCGCATTTAACCCTCAGTGCCACATCAAGATTCCTGTTGTTAAGTACTGCTGAGTCGGTTCTGACCCATAGCGACCCTGTATAGGGTTTCCAAGGAATGGCTGGTGAGTCTGAACCGCAGACCTTGTGGTTCAAATGACTCTGCAGTCCAGTGCATTAACCAACAGCACCACACCAGGACTCCTATGTTCCAGTAGTCATTGTTGTTAAGTGCTGTTGAGTCGGTTCCGACCTATAGCAACCCTGTATAGGGTTTCCAAGGAGCAGCTGGTGAGTTTGAACCACCAACCTTGTAGTTCAAACAGCTTTGCAGTCTGGCACATTAACCCACAGCGCCACACCAGGACTCCCTATATTCCAGGAGGAGAAGACAAATGATAAACAGGATAAAGAATAAGCAAACAAAAAAGGTAATTTCTGATTGTAGCCAGCATTATGAAAGATAGGAAACTAGGCACTAGAGGGAACTGAGTGGGAGCTTGAGGCCTCACTAGGTGGGGTATCAGGGAAGGCTCCTTCTGCAAAAAATGGCTTTGAACTGAGGCCCGCCACACTCATCACCTGTGGAGCTGTTGGTGGTGGTATGCTGTGGAGTCAGTTCTGACTCCTAGAGACCTATATAAGGCTTCCGAGGCAGCAAATGTTTACGGGAACAGTCAGCCTCATCTTTCTCCTGCTGCGAACTGCTGACCTTTCAGTTAGCATCCCAATGGGTGACTACTACACTGAAGGGACTGAATTCCTGGCAAGCAGACAACATGTGCAAAGGCCCTGACGTAGGAATGACCTTGCCATGGTCAAAGCAAGCCAAGGAGGTGAACAGGCACAGGAAGAGCAGGAGACGGAGCGGAGGAGGGGGTCAAAAGTCAGGTCAGGGATGCAGTCATGGTGAGGAGTTTGAGAGTTTTCTGGAGGCCACAGGACCGCCTGATGGGCTCTGAGCAGGGTAGTGAGTGGTAGGACGTGATAGGAATGATGAGACTGATACTTTAGCTCTTGGGCTGCTACGTGGAGAATGAATTCATAATTTGGAAATCAATTCAGAAGAGACTTTGATGGACTAAAAGCCAGAGATTTTTCTTCTCATTCCCATTTGTTTTTTTCTGTTTACGGTACTTCTTTTTTCATCCCTGAAACTGTACAGTTATTTTAGGCAAAGGAAATCAGTGAGCCTCATCCTCTTCCGTTTGCTAAGTCTTTACCCTCGCAGCCAGAGGCCTCTTTACATAACAGTGCTTATAGGGATGTGACTTCAACTTAGCTTTTATGTGCCTCAAAGGGGAGGTCAGTTAGGGCCACTGCTTACTCAGAGACAGCCTGCAACAGCCCTGGGGAACACTGAAAAGTAAATACTAACAGCTCATAAGGAGGACCCAAGGCCACGCACCCAAATGACTTCCCCAAACCCCAAAGAAAATTATTTTACCACTCAGAGTAGATGACCTTTGTAAACTTATGCCTGGGGAAGAAACAACTGCCTCTCAGTGTAGCACTGTAGGATCAGCACTGGACTGTTAACCACAAGGCTGGCATTCAAACCCACCAGGAGCTCCTCAGAAACCCCATAAAGGGTCACCATGAGTCGGAATCAATACGACGGCACTTAACAACAACAACAGTAGTATGTACTTCTCAAGAAACCCAAAAGGCAAAGGGCTTAACTATTAAAATCACCAGTCAGGACTTGAATGACTGACTACAAATGGCACCAGAGTTCTCCTTATACCTAATTTCTTTAGACAGAATTCTGCACCAATTTCAAAATATTTTTTCATTATTGTCGCTAAGAATTGTCCTCAAAGTCTTAAAAGCTTGCAAGCTGCCATTCAAGGCACAACAAGTGGTCTCTATTTACCTAAAGCATCAAAGGAAGGAGAGTCAGGAACAGCCCCCATGAAAGACGGCCTTCTCTGCCAGGAGACCAGAGGAACTGGATGGAGCCCAGCTACCAAGACTGAGCTACTGATCAAAGATTCTAGAGAAGAATCCTGAGCAAAAGGGGGGAAACAGAGAAGAGAATTTTAAATTTTCATAGGCTCCAGACTTTTTGCAGCCCTGGAAACTGGATGAACCCCTGGAAATACTGTTCTGAGATCATCTTTAAACCTTAAACCAAAAATATCCCCTGATAGACTGGATACTACTCAGTGGAGATTCTACCTTCCTTCACACCCTCCAATCTGTCTAGGCGGGGCTGTTGAAATGAAATGCAGATGGGTCTCTTGTGATACAATAGTGAATAATTGTTATCAGGACTACTTGTGAAGGTTGGAAATGTAAAGGTAGACGTTTTGTAGCAAGGAGGGGAGTGATTAACTTTTCAGTCTAAGAGTGGAGGTCCCTGGGACCATCAAGGGAGAAGAGCAGAGAGCGGGACCCTACCCAGAGAAGCAATGATGCCTGAGATGCAGGCAGAGATGATGACGTGGACAGATGGAGCAGTTGGCGACTTTAGACACAGAGGAGTGGGGCTGTGTGCTGACAACCAGGGGTGGGCAGGCTTGTAGTACATACCCTTTGGTTGGTTAATGATGCATGGAGGGGATTGTAACCATGGCAATGAAACGATATACGATAGGATGAGTGTAAAACTAATGTTCTCCCATGTAAACTATCACATAATTCAAAACAACAACAAAAAATATCTCCTGAAATCTTCTTGAAACCAAACAATAGCTTAGCTTAACTAGCTTTTAAATACTATGCTCTTCTATTTTTTTTTTTAATGTTTTATTGTGAATTATGTGATCGTTTACATGGGAGAACATTAGTTTTACATCCATGATTACAATCCCCTCCATGTATCACCAACCAACCAAAGGGTATACTCTGCAAGCCTGGCTCCCCCACACCCCACCCCAGCGCACAGTCGTAGTATGCTCTTTTAAGAAGTATCTCTCTGGGATAAAACTGACGGCAGCAACTTAAAAAATCAGATAGAAATCTTGGAGGGCCCTGAGTTTATAAAGAAAAAAGGGGCGGGGGACTAACTCGGAAAAGTAAGAGTGAGAATGCCAGTATTAGAAGAATGTAGTCAATGTCACTAAATGACGCATGAAGGCATAGCTGAATTGGGGTATGTTTTGCTGTGTAGATTCTCAACAACGTAACAAAACTAAGAAAACTAAGGGGGGTCGGGGAGAGAGAGAGATGTTCACAAGATCACTGCCAAATCTGAGAGAAGTCTGAGTGTCCTTTAAGGTTCTCAGAACAAGAGAAAAGTGCACACAGCTGAAGAGTTTAACTGAAAGGAGGAAAAAAGCAAGCAATTATTTTCACGAAAACAAATGCCTGCTTTGCATCACTCACAGTACAAATAATTATTTGTGGAAAGAATAATTTTAGTGGCAATAGTGCTAGTGTATTTAGACAAGGACTGGAGGTGACTATGAAAATATCCTTTAATTTTTAACTTGTAAAGTTTGGGTAGGGCATAAGCCATTAGTAAAGTTTCCTTTATTAGCCTTAAAACGTTAGTTGTACAAGAGGGGAAACTACTGCAGAAGATGCAAATTCAACAGTCTTTGAGTAATATAAATGTTAGTCAAATACCACTGCTGTTGTTGTCATGTGCCATGGAGCTGGTTCTGATTCAAAGTGACCCTCCATAGGGTTTCCGAGAGTGGCTAGAGGGTTTGAAATGCAGACCTTGCAGTGATCACTCCAGTGCCGTACCAGGGCTCAAAATATCACTAGGCAGCATCACTATTTTCACTGGTTATGTGTACAATAACAACATAAGGAAATAGAATCTTTCTCAAAAAGCCTGTTTTAATACAAGTATTGCTACTGCTGAAGAAAATATTCAGGTTTAAGCCCTGGTGGCACCACAGGATAAGCGCTGGATGTTAACCACAAGATTTGTGTTTCAAACCTACCAGTGGCTCTGTGGAAGAAAATGAGGCTCTCTTACTTGTAAAGATTGTTTGTCTTGGAAACCCTGTATAGGGTTGCTAAGAGTCAGAATCGACTTGATGCTAGTGGGTTTGGAGTGGGGTTTACCAGCTAATTTAAGGGGCCCTGGCGGCATGTTGGGCTGCTAACCACAAGGTCAACGGGTTCAAACCCAAACCCAACAGCCAGTCTGTGGGAGCAAATTGAGGCTGTCTGCTCCCACGAAGGTTTACATAGAGCAATGGGAAACCCCACTGAGTAGTTGGCCTTGTGTGTCTGGCTTTTTGGTTTACAGGATGCTTCCTGCTGTTGGCACAGCCTGTGGAGCAATGCCAATTAAATAAATGGACCCAGACTTCCAGAAAACTGGCAGAGAAGACCTCTGCAGTCAGGGTGAGCCCTACTTAGCCTTCCAGACCCAGCAGTGCACAATCAGATGCCTACAAAAGGGAGGAGCTGTTCAGACTCATCATCACAAGCACCTGGAGTCTGGTCTACAGCATCACTGCCCAACGGCAGTATTCTGCGGGCCACACTACAACATTCAATGTGCTGGTGGTGGTGGTGTGCCGTGGAGTTAATTCTGACTCATAGCGACCCTGTACAGGGTTTCCGAGGCTATAAAGCTTTACAGAACCAGAAAGCCTCATCTTTCTCTCACGGAACTGCTGGTCGTTTCTAACTGCTGACCTTGAGGTTAGCAGCCCGACTTGTAACCACTATGCTACCAGAGCTCCTTGTTCAGTGTTCTAGAAGCCATATATAAAAGATGAACATGCCATAAGCAACGGTAATCAAAATACCAGGAAACCGAAGGAGAGGAGTATGCATGATACCACAATTAAAAATAAAAGGGGGGAAATCAATTTGAATAAAGTATTTATTTAGTCCAGTTAGGCCAAAATACGGTTATTTCAACAATGTATCCTCTTTAAAAAAAAAAAAAAGATTCATTCAATACCTAGCAATCTTTTGTTTGTGTTGTTGTTGTTGCTACTGTTCAGTGCCATAGATTCAGTTCCAACCCATAGGGACCCTGGATAGGGTTTCCAAGGAGCACCTGATGGGTTTGAACTGCTGACCTTGAGGTTCAAACTGCCTTCGTGACCCAGCAGCTGCCGCACGCTAGATATTCATGGCACATCTCAATTTGGTCTGGCCACATCCCAAGCGCTCAAAAGCCACACATGGCCAGTGGCCACTAGTCTGGACAGCACAGGTCCAGGGCTTCCGACAGGGCTCTCACGAGCTGGTGGCAGGGCCTTGGGCAAATCCTTGGTCTGTTGCTGATGAGAACTTGTATCAGAGCTTCTCCAGCCCTAAAGGTCTGAGGAATTCTACTTCTGAGAAACACACACATGAAGTGGTTTAGTCTGAGTGTGTGCACACACAGGAACGTTATACACAGGTCTACATTTCAACATGCATGTGAATATCTAAAAATCCTATTTTTGACATGTACATACATACATGCATGTGTATATGTGTCTGTGGTTATTGGGTAGTATCAACGCAATGTCAATTCATGACAGAGTAGAACTGTCCCATGGGGTTTTTGAGGCTATGTGGCTCTGTAGGATCACCACTGGTCTACAAACCACAAGGTCCACAGTTCAAACCCAACAGCTGCTCCTCAGAAATCCTAGACAGACAGGGTCGCTGTGAGTTGGTACCGACTCAATGGCACTTACCAATAGCAATAACAATCTTGAAGGAGCCCTGAAGGAGAGCTGTTAAGCATTTGGTTACTAATGGGAAGGTCAGTGGTTCAAACCCACCAGGTTTTCCATGGGTGAAAGACGTGGCATCTGCTCCTATAATGGTGACTGCCTTGGGAAGCCTAAGGAGCACTGCTACTCTGCCACCCAGGTTGTTAGCAGCTGGAATCGATTAGGTGACAGTCGAGGGTTTTTTGGTAATCTGTATGAGTTGGTTTAAACCACCCACCTTTCAGTTAACAGCAGAATGCTTAACCATTGTGACAGCAGACAGTGGGTTTACTGTCCCTGCTCCTTCTCATCAGTTCCCAGGGAAGCGCTGTTGTTGGGAACTGAGGACAAGGAGAGAAGGGGAGGCTGGCTGGCTGTGCTGACTCAGCCCAGACGAGAGCATTCCGTACAGGAGCCCCAGGAAGAGAAAGCAAAAGGAAGGTGCTGCTAAGAGTTGCATGGTGCCAGACATATCATCATCATTCTTGATGAGACAAAGAAAACACAGTGTGATTTATAATCTAGTTGCCCCATTATAACCTCCTGGGGCACGAAAGTTGATTGGCAATAAATTTAAATGCACGGATCACCTGGGTATAGATCAGAGCTTCAAAAGCATCTGTCATTATTGATTGATTTGTCATTATTAAGATACAGCTGTATAAAGCTGCTCTGTTTCATTTTAAAGCAATTTGCTTAAGAAAGAAAGTAGCAATGTCAGACAGCAGAGGAAAATCATTGAGCATCAACAGTCAGCTGAGTCTAATTGTACTATCCAATGACTTGTTACAGTTTACAGTTGTTGTTATGTGCCGTGGAGTCAGGGTTTCTGAAGCCGTAAATCTTCATGGGAGCGGAAAGCCTCATCTTTCGCCTGTGGAATAGCTGGTAGTTTCAAACTGCTGACCTTGCGGTTCGCAGCCCGATTCGTAACCACTAAACTACCAGAGCTCCTTAAACTCCACAGCAGGCCTGTTTTAAAACCTCCCAATGGACTTCTAGTGTGGTGCTGTAGGACGAGCACTGGACTGCTAACCGCAAGGTCAGTGGTTCAAACCCACCAGCTGCTCCTTGGAGACCCTACACAGGGTCACTATGAATCAGAACTGACTCCATACACTTAACAACGTCTTTTCAGAAGACAAAAATGATCAACAACCAATCAGTACGAGTTTTACTGTTAACACACCAAAGAAAAAAAAAAGTCATAAAAACCTCATTGGGTCTCAATAAAACATACATTAAACTGACTAGTGATCTACCACCCGGGCAGACCAAATGAAGCCAAAGGAACAGCCGTAGACATTACCTGGCAAGACGCTGCCATTATCCGCACACATGGAAAAGATGCGTTCATACACTAATTTTCCTGTGGAGACAAGGACATATAACATTAATATCACACATGTTACGAGCAAAGACAAAATAAACATTTGCTAATTAGAACTCCTGGCATGGTGCTATAGCATAAGGACCAGACAGCTAACCACAAGGTCAGCAGTTCAAACCCACCAGCTGCTACTTAGAAACCCTGTCCAGGGTTGCAATGAGTCAGAACAGACTCGATGGCACTTAACAATAACAATTAGGAACAAAGGTGCCCTAGTGATACTGAGGGTTAGGCCTTGGGCTGCTAACTGCTACTCCACAGGAGAAAGACGAAGCTGTCTGCTCCCATAAAAATGTACAGTCTCAGAAACTCTATATAGGGTTCCTATGAGTCAGATTCGATTCGATAGCAGTGAGCTTGTGCCGGGCAGTGGGCTATTTAATGTCTCTTCTACTTTTGTCTTTCTAACTCATACCAAATGACTTGTTCCTGAAGGGTCTGGATAAGACAAAGTGGGGAAAGATGCTGATAGTATAGCATTCAGTTGTCACTGATTGTGAATAGGGATAATTGTAAATGTAAAAACCTGGAAATCTAAAAGGGACTTGGCCAGTTTTTCCATCCTGCTGGGTTTAAGTTGAGCTATCTCAGAAGTGGGAAGGAGACCTCATTACCATCAAAGAAGAAGAGGCAGGAGTGAAACACGCCCTCTGCACCCTGAGATTCCTGCACATTGAACCTCCTCGGTCCAGGAGCAGAAATCCATGCCTTCAGAGCAGAAGCAGAGGCAAGAGCCAGAGCACCAGACAAAGCAGTGGGCAAGTGACTTTCAGCAGGAAGCTCATTTGTGGAGTGGGGTACCTGCATGCAGTTAACTGGGAGCTAGGTTTGCTGACCCACGGAGCTAGAGGAGCTAGTGCCCTCGGACTAAGGCTTACATGGTGGAACGGTGTGTCCTTTGGGCATTTATTAGAAGCCCTACAAGAACTTAATTTTACTTCTAAGAAATCTGTACCTAGACCAAGAAACAGTTGTTCGAACAGAACATGGGAACACTGAATGTTTTAAAATTGGGAAAGGTGTGAGACAGGGTTGTATTCTTTCACCATACTTATT